CTCCCAACAGCCCAGGGCCGGCTCCTCTGCCTTCCTCGGTGGTTGGGAGAGCGCTGCGCCCCTTTCAGTCTCCCTGGGGGCCGCTGCTGGGGAGAAGTCAGCGGGGAGAGGGGGAGGAGAAGGGAAACTTCTGCTCGGGACGCCTTTTCCCTCCTCGCCCCCGGATCTCCCCCCGGCAGCGCTCGCCCCGCGCGGCAGCAAAAGGTCCGCGTGTCCCCCCCCCCCCAACATGGTAGCAACCACGTATCTGTCTGTTGGCCTTGGCCTTGCAATTTCCTTCTGGCTTCCCCACTTTCCTACTGCAAAATTCTCAAAGTAAATGGGGAAGCCAGCAGGAATTCTAAGGAGAGAGTGAAGAAGGAAAGAAAGGAAGACAGGAAAGAAAACAATGGCAGGGAAGAAAAGAAGTGAGCAAGGAAAAGAAAAGAGAAGGGGGAAGGGAAGTTTCCAGTGCTTCACGCCAACTTTGGACAAGGAACCAGTAGTCATTCCTGCTCCTGCTGCTGTTTGCCTTCCCTTGGGTCATTTTGCTGTTTCGTTACTGAAATATCTCTTAAATGATGACACAACAAGGCACAGGTTGTCTACACTTCTAAAATCAGGTATCACTAGCAGCTACACATTTCGTGGGACATACATACTAATAGTCTATTCCCGTGCAGACTTCACAGTGTAAACTCACTGACGTTCTTATTAGATCAGGTTGTATAAATTGTATAAATACTGCTGTGTACATTTTTACACAATCCCAAGATCTTTACAAGTCTTACATTAATAATATTTATATATAAAAAAGCTCTGCGTCGTTATTGGAGATTCTTTCCACTTGAGATTGCATTGCGGTAAGAGCTGAAGCAAGGAAGTTTCTCTGTCTCAATAGTTTTGATACTCACATTATAGAATTATGATGCTTAGAACATAGACCAAACTCATATATCTGCATATATAATTGAAGAAATCCTCTGGTCAATCCCGTATCCTTTTATCCATAGTAGAGGTAGTGAAGAAGGCTATTAATTTAAAATAATGAATTTGTGTCCAAGAAGCCTTCCAAGTTGTATCACACTCTTAATAATTAATAGTTTGAAATAATGTGCCACATCATATTTAAATATCCAGGATCTCAAGTACAAAAGTTAGAAAAAAATGAGCCAACTTACACCCATTGGATATGATTCTTGGATCTTTTCTGAACAAGATGTATTCCATCCAAGACATTCGTAATATCATATACTCTTCGCTTCCGTACTCCTAGCAAACGAGATACTTCATTCAAATCCAGGACTCCTTCTGGAGCAGCTTTAACAAGTTCCATGAATCTTCTGGTCAGCTGAACCAGGGATCCATCATAACGGGGCTTTCTGCCTTTCATTGATTCTGCATGGTTTAAACAAAAGTACAGATTAACCCACTGTTAACAGGGTTGTAACATGGAAAACTTCCCACATTTGTCATCAAGAGCTTTTGAGCTAATCACCTTAGCTAACAGGCACCAGTTCAATAATGAAACATATTTGCATTGCCTCTAAAAAGTTCAGGCGCTGTTTACTGACATTTCCGATCCAGTATTACCATGATATGACATCATGTCATCCCTAAATGAGATGGCCAAATTCACCTCTTTGATCAGAGAAAAAACAAAACTTGCATTTATTGCCAATTGGAAACGCTGATGGACTTTTTGTGTAAAAGAGAAAAAATAAACGTATGATTTATGATTTTGATTATTAGATAAGGTAGAGTTGTGAGATAACTTTAAAGAAAGACATAAATTTATAATTGTACTTATAAATGCTATAAAGAAAATTGGAAATAACCTCTTTGTATCTTTTTTTCTTTTCTATTTTTCCTTTAGCTTTTCTTTCTTTCTTGCAGTTTTAGCTTTCTTTGGGTTTTTTTTTCCTTATCATTAATTTGCATTTGTTGTTTTTAAAACTTTATACATACACACATATCAATACAAAATGTTAAGGAGAAAATAAGAATGTTTTGCAAAGGTTCCACCTTCATTGTTTTATGGCTAGCAGAAACCAACTGTTCTTCGCCTTCATTTTCAATTTTTGTACGTGCCCATGGAGAGTATAGTAAGGTATTTAAGAGCAAAAAAGAATGATGCAGTGTGCAAATTCAATAAACACTGCTGATCTTGTGACAGTCCCGCTATGTGAATAATCTTACAGCAAATGTGATGTGTTTGGTAGACAAAGAGATTTTAAAGAAAAACAGCACATTTTCCCTTGACATAATTATCCCATTAGCTCAAAATAGGTCCTCCAACATCCCTTCAAAACACTACATGGTTAAATATCTAATGTCCCTTAAAAGATTACTGCCATTCGTGCATTTTGTTTCTATTTCCGAATTGAATAAAGTTGTTTTGTACACTGCCCAGAGTCATGTTCGGTAAGATGAGCAATCATAAAAAGTATTATTAAAAAAGAAGGCATTGGTTTGCCGAAATGCTGACCTCTTGATGGCAACTCAGTAAAAATTGGGGTTGGAGTAACGAAAAAAGGATCTCATCTCTCAGCATCTCTCACAGTGTTAAAGATTTAAATGTAAGCCGCTCGGAATCCTCTGGGATTGGGTAATCAATCAATCAATCAATCAAACAAACAAACAAACAAAAACAAACAAATAAAATAATAAAAATAAAATAAAATAAAATAAAATGAAAACCACAACCCGTTCAATTCATTAAAAGGCTCCACAATAGCATTGCAATAGTTACCATGGTACTGAAAAAAAATGACTTACGACCAGTCCTTGGACTTATAACTATTGCAGCAACTCTGCAAGTCACAAAATTCCGGACCCTGGCAGCCAATGCAGGTAAGTCCTCGACTTATGAACCACACCTGAGCCCCCAAAATTCATGTTGCTAAGCAGGACGCGTCAAGTTAGTTTTGCCCCCCTTTTACGACCTTTCCTGCCCCTTGCTAAGTGAACCAATTACAATCGTTAAAAGTTAGCCAGAGGTTGGTTCAATGAATCTGGCTTTCCCGTTGAATTAATTCGCTTGTCGGAAGGTCGCAAAAGGAGATCGCCGCACTGCGGGACGCACCACAACCATCGTAAATGCGAGTCAGCTGTCAAGCCTCCCAGTTTTGATGGGGTGGCAAGTCTTCAAAAGGCTGCAAGGGTCATTAAGTGTCTAAAATACCCGATCGCAAGTCGCTCTTTTCATCGCCCTTGCAACTTTGAACGGTCACTAAACGAACCGTCGTTACGCGGAGGGCCGCCTGTACTGTAGCAACACAATCCCAACGTTTTTTTCGACCTAGTTAGGAACTAACTAAGCCTAATAACTAATAACGCAAAGGAAGATTCCTCCGGGGTCTTTCTAAGGCCGACCGCCACGGGCGAGAGAGCCCTACCCTGCGACCCCACCCGGCCCAACGACCGCCGAGACTCGCAGGCTACGACGAACTTCGGGACGAACCGGGGGAAGCCCCAGAAAACGCGAACGGGGTTTAGGCGGCCGCCGGAGCCCGGGAACTCCCCTCGGCCCGTCCTTAAACCTCCTTCTCGGGGGCTCCTTTAAGAGAAGCCGAAGAAGGGGCCGCCTTCAAAAAGCGCCTTCCTCCCCCCAGCCCGCCTTCCTCTTTCCCCGTTCTCTGATTCTCCTCACGGACTCAGGGCTCCCCTCAACTCGCCGGCTTGGCAACCAACCACCCAGCCCATCTCCGTCCTCCTTTTCTCCTATCCGCGCAAGGCAAGAGAACGAGAGAGAGAGAGAGAGGCCTTCAGAAGCCCCGCTGCCTCACTTACTGGCAGCAAATCCAAGGAAGGCGACGGGAGCCGCGGTGGCGGCCGCTCCTCACTCTAGGCCGAGGCTCCGGCCTAACGCCAGGGCGGCCATCTTGGCCCAGCCTCCGCCTCGGCAGCGCTCCTGGCCTTTCCCCGCCTCAGTTAGAGGAGGCGGGAAAGGGGGCGAGACAGCAAAGCGCCACCCTCTTCTCCTTCGGCTTCTCCTCCTCCTCCTCCGGGGAGCCACTTTCGGCTGCCGCTGTCGCTTTCATAACGCTTTCATAACGCTTTCCTTGGGGGCCGGGGCTGTTTGCCGGCAGCTCCCGAGCGGGGGCTTCTAAGCCCGGAACGGAGCGGAGCAGAACCTCCATCTTCCGCTCAGGGCAAAGCGGGAGGAGTTGAAAGCGCCTCTTCCGACCTTTCGGGTCGAGGAGCCGCTCGAGGGGGCTCTGCGATGGGGCGGGAGGCATCCGGCTCGGGCCCGGGGGGCTGCCGTCACCACCGCCGCTTCGCCGGCGGGACTCTCCGAGTTAAGGGTTTTTGAGGTTTCCTCAGGGAGAACGGCTTCTAGAACGCTCTTCTTTATTATTATGTTTTAAAATTCTTTTTTGTTTATTTATTTATTTTATTTATTTATTTATTTTATTTTTTATTTTATTTTTTTATTTATTTTATTTTTTATTTTATTTTTTTATTTATTTTATTTTTTATTTTATTTTTTATTTTATTTGTTTAAAATACCTGTTTATTTATTCACA